GCTCCTAGTTCACGTGTAATTATGCTACTTATCAAAGGGAAATCACGATGTAATATTTAGATTTACCAAGCTCATTTTCTGAGGAATAATTCATTCCTATCTCGTGAAATCCAATGCGGGCAGAAAATTGGCAGAGTGTAGCCCGGAGTGAAGGGGACGAGACGAAATCCTGCCTATAATGAATAGGTTAAAAACGCAGAAACAAGTACTTTGAAAGAATTTCTCAGATGGGAAGAGTTTAAGTCTTTCTTTAAAAACAGGTGTTGAATAAGTTGGCTTCTTCTTCTTCTTCTTCTTCTTCTTCTTCTTCTTCTTCTTCTTCTTCTTCTTCCTCCTTTCCTCTTCTCCCCCCCCCCACTTCTTCCCATTGCTTGCAAAGTTGAATCTGGGGTCAGGAGTTCTAATTGTAACCTCAGACTGGAATTCCAGATGGTGCGCTCTGGACTGGAAGCACCTCTCAGTTCATCAATTTCATGGGCTAGCATATCTGCTCTGGCCACGGCCTGGTCTCCATCCCCACTGTGGCATTAATGCAGAACAAATTGAGACATATCCTCTGTATAATTACTTCCAGAATTTAAAAAGATTTACGGGATAATAATAGAGGCTGCGCTGCTGAATCCTTTCATTGGGGCTCTTTGGAAGCTGGGGAATCAGTGGCGTCAAAACACTTTGGATTTAGGCACCACGAACTGGGGGAAAGGGCAAATTTTGCATCTCGCACCAGGCAGCGCTAGGCGGTTCTAGCCCCTTAACCAACCCAGGGAAGAGAGTTCAAAGCCCAGATGTGAGGTTGGTTAAAAAAAAAAAAAAGTAAATAAAGAATCGAGACAATTTTCAAATGAAAGAAGCCTAAGGGTGGGCTGTGTCACAAAAGGCCCTGCGATGTTTACGTTTTTCTTTTATTTGCAAAATGAAGCTATGGTTTTTGCCAACTATGCCAGTCCCGGAAACTGCGCTCTAGGCGCCTTCCCCGCAGCCCTAGACACACTGCTGTCTTAGAAACGCTGGGAAAGAGAGCGCTGTTGTCCTGCTCTTGGGGCTCAGGACACTCGGCCCAAGGGCAGCGGCTGAGATGATTAGTAGCTTGGAGGTCGGGCCACCCTTCACGCCATTCTCTGGCCCCGGGTGAGGGCAGGCGGCTTCAGCCTTTGACGGATCCCAGGGCTTCGGCTGTTTATTCAATTGTCAACAGCCGCCGAGTGACCAGCCGGATCGCGGCCCTGGCGTGCGCGCTAGTCCCTGGGGCCACAGCAGCGGCCGGGCTCTGAACTCAGCCAGACGCAGTTGACAGTCCTGGGATGAAAGATCTTGGCTCCCCACCTCACCTAGATGCGATGTTTTAATCTTGTAATAATTATGCGCCGTCTAAGACGAGATGGGTACACTTTGTCCACGATTGAAGCCACGTAGACCGCCAAGGTCTCTCTTGTCTTCCATAGTCCAGCAGTACTAAGGAAGCAGAGACAGTGGTTTAAACCACCCCTGAACGAATCGGATATTGAAAGTTCTGGTTTTGCTTAAGCTTGACCAAAAATCTTTGTATACGTCTTTGAACAAAATCAGTCTCAAAGCCCAGCGGTTTTGGAGCAAATAGAACACTACCTTTCTATATGATTCATCTACAACCCCGAAAGGTGGGTCGCTACTCTCAATATTTTCTCCTTTGACCACCAATAAGGATATGGAGGCTCAAAAACATTACAGAACTCATGTGGCCCCATGAAACTGTTAGTTACAGGTGACAGTGAGATCGCATTCTCCAAGACACCAATTCTTGCTCCAAACCACAGCAGCTTGCTTTTCCTACCTCGGTTTTGCCTCAGTTTCCTCAGCTGGCTTGAGTTGAATCGCAGGCTTTACCTAAGGACAGACAGTTCAGAACGCGATCCTCCCCAGGCCCGAGTCTTTGCGCCATTGTGGTGGGAAAAAGAAAGAGCATGGGAAACTCATAGTTCTCCCGGCCCTTCATTTTTCTGGAACCCCGGTGAAGGAGGTTCAGGGTGAGCAGCAGGTGCGACACCCCCTGGCCAGGCTGTCTGTAGATCTCACAGTCAGTGCAGGTCACCCAAGTCCATGTAGTATGGCATCTGTTGGGGGAACCTCAGGGCTCCGGTAAAAAACGGTTACCCCGAGGAGAAAGGTGGAATGTGGGAGGAATGGGATTCCCTAGGACCCAAAGGTTTGCTAGTGCCAGAGTACTGGCTTACCAGTGCTTGGGCTTCTAGACATGGGGTGGGCGAGGGTATCTCAGGTGTGTCCAATCTAACCAGAGGGCCTCCACCTGCGATGCAGCTTCCCCTTCCCGCTCGGCTGGGAACTTTCCACTGCTTTCATGCTGGGAGAAGTTAGGGCGAGAGAGTACCCTAGGGTTGAAATGAAGAATTAATCGTACATCGCCTGGGTTCTCTCTCAAAAATTTTGGGAAAAAGAATGACAGAGGAGATCAAAAAACTTTCCGCGGGTCTGTATCTGTATGCCACCTCTTTCTCAACAACCCACCCCCAGGCACAACAGAAAAATTTAAACAGGGAGGCAGAGGTGTGTCCTTTCTTATTCCCGAGCTCACATCAAATGGCCTCTCTACACACCGCTTACATCCATACCTCCTCCCGGCGAAAATCTGCAGGCGACTAAAAGAGAAAATTAGCTCAGTTTCCCTTTGGTAATGAAACCCCAGCTCTTCGTGAAGGGCTTCCATTCCCTAGGAGTTCAAGTTAAGGAAAACGACTTCGAAGTAGAAATAAGAGGCCAGGAGGAGGGGAAGGGGGCAGGGGAGTAGGGTGGCAGGGTCAGCTTGACTTGGGGAGTTTTGTCGCAAAGGGTCTGTCTCCTACAAAAAGAACTATGGTCCTGCGCCCTGTTACATGTTTAGACATAGAGAATGGAAGAGAGGGCAGAGTGTAGGGAGAAGCTGGTTTTGAGGGCCCTGCATTTCTTTAAAAGAAGAAAAAGACTATGAAGATGGAGGAAGAGGAAGAGGAAGAGGAAGAGGAAGAAGAAGAAGAAGAAGAAGAAGAAGAAGAAGAAGAAGAAGAGGGGAGCTTCTGATCTACCACAAATCAGTGAAAATTCCAAAACAGCTTGCGCAGGGTTTACCAAGGTGAAAGTGAAGGGGTAGCAACGGTTCCCTTGGGATCTTCTTTACCTATACAGATTGTGCAACCCCAAGAGGCGTGGGTCATTGCATACGGCAATACTTTCTGAGCCCACGGACACTCCGGGTTCCAGATCATAACTCCCGGCGATTTTGAATTTATGAATCTATGCAAATTAAAACCAACATGCAGCAATTGGAGAATACACTAAGACCATTGAAACGCTAGGTTTCTTCGTATTCGTGGTCAGTATCCTTGAGTTCTGCTTAGTAGGTTTTGTTGGAAAGTTTCGAGCCTCGTCCCTATTCTGGGAGCCCAAGTACAGCCGGCCGCTTCCCGCCCCTCGCCTGGCAGTCCCTGACCAAGCCATGCCGGTGCCTCCAAGACTCCCGGAGTCTGCCTGAAACCCACTTCACTCAGCGACCCGCGGGCTTCTCTTTGTTCACAGGTTGTCTCCCACCCCATAGATGCCACTATTTTAGAAGACCTAAAGCAATCCAAACTAACCCCCAAACACCTGTTCTAAGGCACGGGAGTCCCAAATGGCTACAAGGTGGAGGGAAGGGTTGTTTCAGAGAAGCCGTTCTCTGGGAATTCTCCCAGTGGTGCGAACACTCCATAGCCACAGGCCAGTGGAGCATTTCCAACTGGTTTGTAGCCCCTGATCAATCACCGCGTCACAACGTGGCCCCAGAGCGTTCGCACCAGAATCCGAGCCGGTTCTCGGCATTTCTGCAAGAACACCACCACAGAAAAACAAACAACAACAAAAACCAGCTGCAGTTTCCCCCAGTTGCTATAAGGTCTATCAGCTACTCCTTGCAGGAAAGGGTGGATAAGTGCCGTCTACGCAGACTTTCGGCAGACAGCAACCGCCTTCCGGGTTCCAACCTCATCAAAGAATTAATTACCAGACAACTGAAACCGTCCTGCTTGTCACGACTGACGTCACACTTCACAATTACCATCCCGAACAATTTCACCTTGAATCTCAACCTTTGAACCCATAGGAACCGACCTCCTAAAGTGACCCTGAGGTTAGGCTCCAGGGTTCTGGACGTGGGCGGGCACAAGACTCAAAGTTGGTTTATCCTCCTCAGAACTCAGGAGAGATCTCTGGGTCCTCTGGTTCCCGCCCTCTTGGAGCCCACCTGCCCCTCCCTCCACCCCACCCTCTCTGAATTACAGCCCCGTCTCTACTCCCACCTGGAACCGACGCGTCGAGGGGGACACACTGCTTACCTAGAACGCCTTGCCTTAAAGCGCCCACACTCGGGAAGGCCAGCTGGGAAGGCAAGGGGAGGTTTACTACACAGGCCAGCTGTGAGCACGTGGTGGGCTAGAGAGGAGGGTGTCTCTGAGATGAACGCTCCCTCGGGCCCGCCCCACACCCCCGCTACCAGTACCCCGGACGAGCCGCGTGCTGCCGGGGCAGGCTAGGGCTGTTATGTGAATGGAGCGGCCGAGCATCCTGGCTCCTCCTCCTTCCCCTGCTGCCGGCCCTTCTTATTTGAGCTTTGGGAAGCAGGGGGCAGCCAGGCAGCTGGTGTAAGGAGTTCAAGGCAGCGCCCACACCCGGGGGGCTCTCCGCAACCGGATCGCCTGCCTGCTCCCCCTTTTCCTTTCCCGCCCTCCCTCCCACCCACTTATTCACCCACCCACCCAGAGCGAGGACGGCAGCCCTGGAACCCGGGCCCGCCGCCTCCTCGCCGCGATCCTGGACTTCGTCCTGTCGCAGGAGTCGGCTTCCACGTGTGTCCCGGAGCCGGCGTCTCAGCACACGCTCCTCCGCGAGCCCGGGTGTCTTCAGCAGCAGGAGCAGCCGGGGAATCGAGGCCCCCGCAGCACCTGGGCCAAGTCCAGTGGCCAAAGCCCGCAGAATCGTAGGAGCGGAGGGCCGTCCGGGTCCGAACCGCAGCTGATGGGTTCCGACGTGAGGGACCTGAACGCGCTCCTGCCCGCGGTGTCCTCGCTGGGCAGCGGCGGCGGCTGCGGGCTCCCTGTGAGTGGTGCTGCTCAGTGGGCGCCGGTGCTGGACTTCGCGCCTCCGGGTGCTTCGGCTTACGGGTCGCTGGGCGGTCCGGCGCCTCCGCCAGCTCCGCCGCCACCTCCGCCGCCACCCCACTCCTTCATCAAACAGGAGCCCAGCTGGGGCGGCGCCGAGCCGCACGAGGAGCAATGCCTGAGCGCCTTCACTTTGCACTTCTCTGGCCAGTTCACCGGTACAGCCGGGGCCTGTCGCTACGGACCCTTCGGTCCTCCTCCGCCCAGCCAGGCGTCCTCCGGCCAGGCCAGGATGTTCCCAAATGCGCCCTACCTGCCCAGCTGCCTGGAGAGCCAGCCCACTATCCGCAACCAAGGTAAGGAGTCCGGACAGCCCGCCCTGCCCGCACTGCCGCCGCTTGGAGTCCTAGTCCTAGGCGGCTTCTCCTCTCCGCTGTTCCTTCCTGATCCCAACTGCCTTCCCAAGGAGTCAAAGTAATGGGTGCCTGGACAGGGGAGCGTGGACTCTGTGAAGTGCTAACAGACACACACACACACACACACACACACACACACACACACACACACACAGCTGAACATGACTCCAGAGTCCGATAGTTCGCAGTACCCGGGAGGACATCTAGGGTCCCAGGGTTCCTGAAAGATTCCGGAATTCCACGGGAAGAGCTAAGAGGGGATTGGTTGTAGCGTGTGGATCTATATTGGGGAAATGTCTGGTTGCCTCACTAAATTATCACCAGGCACCGGCCCTTTTAGACGTCTGGGGCAGACGGACTTAGAAGACACTGAAGTCAGATCAGCGCTTAGGGATCCCCTTGTGATACCTCTGACAGGCCCAAATCCAAAGAACCTCCAGTTTTCTATATGCGCTGGCTCACTTTAGGCCCGCCAAAGGCAGAAGGGAGCTTTGGAATTAGGGTTTAACATTTGAGAGACCATGTCAGCACTGTAGGAATTTCTCCAGGCCAGGCAAGGTTATGGCCACGCAAGCGGCGGGAATGGAAAAAAGCCTGGCTGGTCCGACTCCAACGGATAAGGAACCAAATCCGTGGAGAGTCTAGGAAAAGGTGGTGGAATTCTTCCTTTTGTGCTCCTCGGATGCTCCTAATATCTCTCTCTCTCTCTCTCTCTCTCTCTCTCTCTCTCTCTCTCTCTCACACACACACACACACACACACACACACACACTAAGGTTAGGTTGGGGAAGGTTTGTAAGACTTGGGACACTGGAACAAGAGCAAGTGTATTGGCGATCTTGAGCCAATGTACAAGGGACCTTATTTGCAATACGTCCATTTTCTAACTCTCACAGGCTCACCCACACCTCTCCTTCGTTAGCACCCTGGAGGAGCCATGGTTGCTGAGCCACTGTACTTTTCGTTTGTTCTCATTTGATTTCTTTTCTGTTGGGAATCTAATTTGGTTTGATAAAATGTTTTGGAAAAACGTTTACTAACACAGAGGTGGATGCTTTTCTCGAACCAGCAATTCTGCTGTCCTTGGTCTGGGTGTTTCTGAAATGTGTGGGGAAGGGGAAGGCAGGGCCGGTACTGCTTTCAGGAGGTGCGGGAGGGTTCTCTGGGCCTTCTGAACCCATCCTGCAGCACCTCAGCCACCCGAAACTCTAGCGAAACTGAAACCACTGAAGAATGGGAGCTCATGATTTCAAGGAGCCACCTGGAGTGGACTTAGGGGGTCCCTTCCTTCTAGATCTTTCACAAATGAAATTGATGTTTTGTACAAGTCAGTTGGAAGCACTCGGTGTCTTTGCCGAGGCTCTCAGACCCTCGCCATCACTTTCTAGAAGGCAGGTGTTACTGTTGGCACATCTCCAGGTCAGTTTGCTGATCGCCTAAGAGGAGAGCTGACATGGGTTAGGCCGAAAGTTACACGCCAAACACAAAGACGCCGGATCGGGCTCTAAATACAGAACACACAGCCCACACAAAGCTCCCCGGAGTCAGAAACTGTGCCACTTTCAGGCATGTGTATGACTTCAGTGAACATGCTTGCTTGGAGGGACTCACTGACCTATTCCTCTGGGGAGCAAATACTAATATGCCACCATCTTTTTTAGTCCTTCTATTGCTGCTTTGAGTGTAGGGGTGGGGGCGTGCTTAGCATTCTGCACTGCAAGTCCATAGAAGCCCATAGTAGAAGGTGGGTGGGACTCAGAATTTAAAGCCCAAGGGCATTACCATTACTCTTGGGGGTGGGCATCTAGATTCTTCTGGAGTAGACCCTTCTGGCTGCTACTGAAGAAAGGAATTAGGAGCTGAAGCCCAGGACCAGCAGGTGATGCCTCCCCACCACGCTCTGCTCTTCTCAAATCGGACCAAGAAAAGGCTGCTGGTGGGGATGTCTTCAGGGAAGGGTCATAACCTGGAAGCAGGTTCCTGTCAGGAAACTCACCTTTTTCTCTTCTAGTTAAAGCAAGTGGGTTGTACAGGATCAGTCTATGGGCTCCCTCAGCTGCTGCTAGGAGCTGAAGTGGGGGAAACTCCCCCATTCCTGCCCCAACTCCTGTGGTCAACTAGAGCAGACCCTTGAGGTCCAAGGTCCGAGATTCTTTGAATATTCATTACTTTTACTTTTGGAATTCCTATGAATCATTTCAACAATGTGATATTTAGTTTGGGGTTTTGATTAGGAGGTGCCAGCTGTCCCGGGAAATGTGAGAATGACATCAGCGCACTTTGCTCAGACTCAAGGGCTCCACTGCGGAGAAGAACTCATGCTGTCTCTATTTACCTGTGCACAAACCCCGGAGCCCAACTATGGTGCTCATTCATCCCTTTCTCAATTTCATAAGGACACCCCCCCCCCATTTCTTATAAAGCCGTTGTCCTAATCGTCTAAACAATTGAGCAAACACCAAAACCTTACTTGGTGTAGATTGACTTATAGACAGCTAATGGCTACAGACACCTTTACAAGAAGTGCATAGCCTGGAAGCGAAGGAAGGAGCCTTTTAGAACTTTACGATGAAATCTAGGCACTAGGAGATTAGACTCAAGAGGCCTCTTAGGTCTTGGCAGAGCTAGGACTTGAACCCACATTTTTTTCTCTCCTGTTTTCTCCCAGAAATTTTGGCTCGTGGTTGAAATGGATTTTCTCTGCCCAGTTGAATAGGCCCTGACACATTATGAGCGTGAAATGGTTGGAAAGTCTGTCAGGACCGAGGATTGAGGACAAGGATTTTCCTAGTCTGGACCCAATGGGGGCTTGTCAGTCAGTTTCTGACCCCTACCCCGCCCCCAGGCCCGCTAGTGCTCACTTCAGGGTGACCCTAGGCCCAGGGGATCACTGCCCTTCCGAAGCTCATCAGACCAGCTGCGATGTGCGATGGGGCCAAAAGCGCCCCCCTCCGGTCACATCAAAGACAGTAGTTGGGTGGGAGTGAGGACTCCATCTATTCCGTGGCAGCTTCGTTTTCCCGAACACTTTCTAGGCTTATCCCGCTATAGAATCTCCCCCTGAGCTTCTCAGGGCCAGGCTGTTCCGGGCTCCTCCGCAGTAGAGGCAGGGGAGGAGAGCTCAGGGCGCTACTCTCCTTCCCGCGACGTCAAGGTTGCTCTCCCCTCCCTGGTCCAGACCAAACGTGGGAAAGTGGATACCTTGGCTTCGAGGGCCTCTCCCTCCAAGGCTTGGACAAGAACCCTTTGAATACTCTTGATACTTCTCAGAGTCAGCAGTCTCCCCCCCCCCCCCCGGCCCCCACTCCCGCCCTCTTCGAGCTGGGCTCAGCTCAGTCCGGGTACAGAGGGTTCCTAATCAGACCCTGTTCAGATAAGCTTCTAATTAAAAGAGCTCTCCCTCCGACTGTCTCACCGCTTTCACCGCTGCCCCTCCCAGGAGCCCCGGGGGAGGGGCTCAAGGTTGCTGCGGCCGAGGTCAGCGGGTCTCATCTACGGCTAGGCGGGTAGGGAGCCTTGCTGGACGCCTGCAGTCTCAAGTCGGAGTTCCGGAGCCTGAGCGGAGATCCCCAGCGTGGGAGCTGCAGCCTGGCCCCAGCTGCTCTCGCTACCAGCGGTTGAGCCTTGGGTCTCAGATTGTGCGTGACTTAGGTCTTTGGCTGCTCCGTTCAGAAATGGAGAAGGGTTCGTTTAGAGAACTTTCTTTATTGTTACCTCCTCCCTCGCCCTTTTTTGTTTTGTTTTATTTTTGTTTTTGTTTAAGCCCTTTTTTCACAGACTCCTCATTTCTCTAGGAAAACTCGGGTGGGTGCCTAGACCCGTATTTCGTTTGTAAGCTTTAGGCCTCAAGTGAGGCCAGGCCTTTTCTTTCGAAAGGAAGTCTCTGGAAGGCCAAATGTACTTATTGATCCACCCCCAAGAGCTATTAGGGTTGGGGATTATCTTTCTCCACTTCACGGGAAGAAAAATGAGGCACTCTGGGCTCACCCAGGTTGAGAAGCAGGCTGATTCCTTATTCGCTAACCAGAACTCTGGGGGCACTCAAGACTTCCTTCCCAGGCCGTGTAACTAGCAATTCCCATGGTGCCTCATTCCCTTCACTGTGAAACACCTCAACCTGGACCGTGTTTATTTACTGCTCTGGAGTGATCCCGATAGAAGCTCGGGTTTTCCTTTGGGTAGTGTGTCCTTTTTGTATTTTGAAGTTGGAGGTAACCGGCATCTTGTCTCTGTACTGAGTGAATTATCTCGGTGACCTCTTATAGAAGAGCCTTGGTCAACCGTGCAAGAATGGTAACTTGGTTTTACCTTAATCCTAAGAGCTTTCGGGTTTTAGAGACTGCGCAGTAGGGAGCCAGTTTTAGTCTGTTCTGCCAGTCCGGGCTCCCTCTACCAAGCTTCACCACAGGAGGGGGAGGCCCCAGCCACATAAAGTCCCTGGGAGGATTCTTAGGATGCCCCCTCTTGCACTAACTTGAGCTTTGACAAACACAGGTGGAATATGTGTTTATTATAGAAATCTAGTTACAATATCACACAAGATTAAGATTTCCAAAACTCCATACGTATTGCTTTTCATCCTTTTGAGTGATAAAAAAGAGCACCGGCCTCTGTTTCTCAGAAGGGAAACTGAGGCAAGCAACTGAGCTACTGCTACCCAGGGACAGATAAGGGGAGTTAAAAGAAGTCGGTTCTCCAGTCTGGTCTGTGGGGCAAGAAGGTTAGTCTGTACTGCAGTGGGGCCCCAGGTGGGCGTGGGGGGGGGAAGAACTGGAGAGATCCTTTCTTTCCACTGCTACAAGCTTTCCTAAAGGCTTTGGGTGTCTCGGTGTCAGGCTGTGTTTCCCGGAGAGGTAACGTGCCCTGATAATTACTCTCCGCGTTTAAAGCGCAGACCGTTGAACTGCCTCCGAGTAATTAATGAAAGTTGGTGCTGGGGTTCTGATTTACAGCCCTGAGTCAAAGCGGGGTCAGAGCAGGAAACTCAGTCCTCTGAGCCGAGTCGCCCTTGTGCGAGCGACGCAGCGGCGTTGTTTGTTTTTCAGAAAGACAACTTCTCCGCCAGGCGGGCGACGGTTTTTGCACCTAACTTGCTGGAGGCTCTATTCATTGCTGGATAGAGCCTAACTGAGGCACAGAAGAATTGGGAAGCTTGGGATTTTAGTTGGGAAAAGAGGTCGGATAAGGTTACACCACTGACTTTGGTCCCTGCTTCAAGCCTGAAGTCCTAGACGGAGGGGTGGGAACCATTTTCTGCGAATTCTGGAATCAGGTACCCGCTGCCAAAGTCGCACCAATGCTCCTGCCTTTTCAGGAGCCTGATGGTCTCTGTGTTTCTTTCTGCCGGTTCTCAGGATACAGCACAGTCACTTTCGACGGGGCGCCCAGCTATGGCCACACGCCCTCGCACCACGCCGCGCAGTTTCCCAACCATTCCTTCAAACACGAGGACCCCATGAGCCAGCAGGGCTCTCTGGGTAAGTGGATGGGAAAGATGCGGGTCTTTACCCGCTGCCTTGGTTCTTTCACCCCTTCCTACCGGATTCCTAAGCCTTAGCAAACTGGGGAAGGGAATAGAGGATAGCTAAAGGGATCCTAGAAATAATAGCTGGCTTTACTCTATTTAAAAGATGGAAGCTCCTTCCATTCCAAGTAAGTTACGTGAAAGTGCCACTCACACAAGGTAACCAATGCCAGACAGTGACTGCAAGGCAACCTAAAGTGAGGAATTGTTCGTCCCCTCATTTGAGAGCCGCCTCGCCCGCTGTCCCAGGGCTGGCTCCAGGCCCCTCGTTGTCCGAAGTTCAGCACGCTCCCCCCCCCTCCGCCCCCAACCCCGGCACTATAACTCCTGCCGGTGCCTCACGCTCTCCGCTCTCGAGTCCCGCTCACTGCTGTCCTTGGCTCTCTGGCAGGCGAGCAGCAATATTCGGTGCCGCCCCCGGTGTATGGCTGCCACACCCCTTCGGACAGCTGCACAGGCAGCCAGGCCCTGCTGCTGAGGACGCCCTACAGCAGGTAAGAAGGTGCCGAGCACCACGATTGTGTCTTGTGGTGACCCTGGAGGTCCAGTGAGCGGGCAGTGAGGAAATGCTAGACCCTGACCATCACTGACTGCGGGAGGGTCTTGGAGGCGAAGAAGGCCTGTACCTGACCCAGACACTCAAAGCAGGTGCTTTGGATATAAATTTGCTTTACACATAAATGAAGACCTTCATGTTTGGAGATAAAATAGGAAGCTGCGGCCTTCTCGGGTTATTTCTTTTCTTTGATTCTTCGAGACAGAATTGTTCCCTGTATCCCTGGCTGTCCTGGTATTCTCTCTGTAGACCAGGCTGTTTTTGAACTCAGGGATCCGCCCGTCTCTCTCTCCCGAGTTCTGAGATTTAAAGGCGTGGGTCACCATGCCCGGTCACGATTTATTTCTATTTTCTGGGAGCACTTTAGCTTCTCCAGGACCAAAAATTGGAGACCAAGTTCTTTCCCACTGCATCCTTTTGTTTAAAGCCACAGGGGCCAGTGGGCCTAATGTGGGCCGCATCCTTCCTCTAACCCTTCCCCTCTAGTGTTTTGGCCTGTGCCAGGGTTCTGTGGACGTAGTTTGGGGCAGCCTTGTGTGAGCTCTGGGGCGAGACCCTTTGAGAAGGTGATCAGGGAGACATCTGCACACACACACACACACACACACACACACACACACACACACACACACTTTTTCCCTCAACAAAGCTCTGCTTCCTCCCTCCCCCTTCTCTGGTCTCTAAGTTCCACTCTCCACCGTTTCTCCCCCAAATTTATTCTTCAACTTTGGGTGAACTTGGCCGGCATCCCGCGTCTCAGATAGGGTTGCTTAGTAACTGCGAAGCACACACACCGGTCTAGAAGGTGGCTTTGCGCCGGTCTTGACTGCAGAGGATTGGGTGCGCATTACCTCACCGCTCCCCCCCCCCCCCCCCCCCCCCCCCGTACTGCAGGGATCCTGACACCGACTGCCCCAAACCCTTCCCCATCCTCCCGCCACTCGGCTCCGGGAGGCTGACGTCAAGGGAAGGAGGCAGTGAGGTAATGAAGGAAGGAAAAGCTTCTGTCTTGGGAGATTGGGTGGGGGAATGGACACGCCTGGGGACCTCCAGTCCCTCAGGTGGAGGAGGGGCTCGTCCTTGCTCTAGACCCCAGAGCCTGCAGTGCAGAGGAGCATCCTAGGGTCTCAGGTGCATTACGAAATTAAGTCTGGGGCTGGTCTGAATCTCCCATCCGGGTACCGAGGCACAACACCTGGGCCCTTCTTCTTTTGCCCGCTGGAGTGCTCAGATTTTGAAAACTTTTTTATTTGGTGTGAAAATCCCATCATTTCTAAACAGATCTTGGATTCCACATCATCTTCTTCAGGCAAGAGGGAGAGAAGTGTATGCCCAAGGTGTAGAGCGGAACACAATGCCTTTTCTCTCTCCCTAGCTAGGAAGGGGTCCTGAACTGGACAGCCTGCTATGCGGAGGCCACAATCCCAGTGGGACCAAATCACCAGTACTCAAGATTTGCTCGTACTCCCTGCTGGAAGGCTCTTCCATTATGGGGAGTGGTGGCAACAAGCCACAGACATCCTTCCTGTCTAATGCTAGAGTGTCATCGCTGTTGTTCCTGGACTGGTTCCCGGCTGAGTGAAGACCTTGGTCCCCTCCCTCAGCCAGGAAAAAGGGCTTGGTGTAGGGGTTGGAGTAGGCATTGTTGAAATGAGGCCTGTACCTTCTTGGGGGCTGGAGGCTGGCAAGATGTATTTCTCTCTCTCTCTCTCTCTCTCTCTCCCCAGACACGTCCTTCATTCCTCTTTCTGCCAAACCTCGGTTCATACTGGGGAACTCTAGGAAGAGGGTATGTCAGAAAGTGATCACAGTCTATGATTTAGTATCATTTTTCTAAACGAAGTTTGCATTTTTGTTATTGATTTTTGACTTGGGGGATGAATCTGTGGTTACTCTCAAGAAGGGAAAAGTCATTCTCATTGTTACAGTTTTTGTTGCTGGGGCCTCTTGCATGCCAAGCGTCTACTCTACCACTGAACTATATCACCCTACTCCAAGATCATATTTTATATACAAAACATATTTTCTAACCCAGCTTCTGACTGGCCATTGCTGAAAGTAATTTTTGTCAGATTCACCTTGCATAAATATTTGCTTGTTCCTTTATTCCTTCTGTGGCATTCTAAGACATTCTATGACATTTCTATCGAGTTTTGACACCGATCTCATAAAACACTATTTTCTCCTAGTACAGAAATGTCCTAAGTAGGAGCATAGCAAAAACAATTGAGACTCTTGTAGGAAAAGCGCTTCCTCCCTTGAGGCAGTCATGTGAGTCTTCGGAGCTCCTAGCACCTTAGATTCACAGTGCTGATAATCTCTTTTCCAAAATTACAACCTTTTCCCACAGGAGTGACTAGCATTGCCACAGGAGTGGCAAGCATTCAGAGCTGGCACACTTCTATTTCTGAAAACACTTGGAGGGTGTTTAAACACTTGTGTGAATATAACATCTTGCATTTAAGAAGCACAGAAAATGGGAGCAAACTTTAATTGCTAAATGGTTTAACTTCTGAATTTTAGTTTATAGTGTGCTGGGGCTGCTTACTGTTCCCTGGCTTGGTTGGTACCTTTTCCCTGGTAAGATTCGGAACTGGGAAAGAAAGGGTTGCTTCTGTCTTGTCTGCCTTGTTGCATTTGGTACCCTGAGGCAGTCTGCTGAGCCTCTTCTCTTACACACACCTTCTCCACCACAACCCTGCCTCTCATATAAACTTTTGTGTCCCCAGGCTTGGGATCTAGTTTCCTTTTCTTGTTTGAGATAAAAGAAATTGTACAGCTGTAGCATTAAATCAGCTGAGTGCTGATGTGAGTCTGCTTTGAAAAAAGCCTCGAAATGTCAGCTCTTTGTCCCCTGTGCCATTCCCTTCTCTCTCCAATAGCATCTTCAGCTCACCCATTAATCTTACTGCTTATGAAGTAGATACTATAATTTCCACTTTACTGCCGAGGAGATAAGTTTAGAGGCTTGAGACATCTTGATGAGGATCACACAGTAAGTGAGATTCCAAAGCCCATTGGTACTCTGAAAGTGAGTGCTTCTGGACCACTTGCCCCTTTCTATGCCAGGATCTTTTATTGATAGTGCAAACGCTTGCATAGACCTATTTCGTGTCAAGTGTCACTGTAAAGCACCTCATGGGTATTGACTTCTTTAATCCACACCCCTGGTCTTTGAGGTGGGCACTGGGTTATCGCCTCCATTTTACAAAGGAAGAAACTGAGACTCTGAGAAGTGATAACTTTTTTTTTCCAGTCGGACATAGTAAGAGACATAATTTGAGTTTGAATTTAGGTAGTGCGGATATAATCCATTCTTCTTCTCTCTGCATCCTGCTCCCTCTCACATGGCTAAGTGTCACTCTCTGAACATGGCATGTGCCATCCATCTTGCTGGAGGACGGACTTTATCTCCCATAGTGATGGAAGCCCCTCTTACTCACAGCCACCATAAAAAGTATCACGGGCAGTGTTTTCCCTGGTGGGTGTTGTTAAAAGCAGCCTTCTCCAGACTCCTTCAGCGTCATCTTTACCATTGGGCATATAACACACACACACACACACACACACACACACACACACACACACCATATAGATGAAACTCAGTACAGTAGAAGCCTCCTAGAGACTGCAAGAGCATACATAAATCTCTCTTCTCATCTGTGCTGCTCCAGGAGGATTGCTTCTGGTACCCCACTGGTTTGTGCTTGCCCAGAAGCAAGGTTTCAGGGAAGAGTGTATTACCTGATCTCCCAGTGTGAGGAGTAATGAAGTCCAACCCCATGCAGCAGAAGCCACTGCAATTTCTACGCAGACAAGGCAGCTATCCGGGCACTCTTCCCAAGCCTGGGTGTTTGGCGCTTGTGTTTGCTACCTCCTCAGAGTCACTCCCTGCTGTGCATGGGGCGGGGCGAGCCTCATAGCAACTTTGAAAAGTGGTACTGTGTTTGACACACATTCCTGTTTGTACTGATTTTTTTTTCATATTCTAGTTTTTTTTATTCATCCTTTTGCTTTTTCTATTAGCCTTATATGCCTTCCTTTTAAACACTGTATTTATTTGTTTTCTGTATACGGTATTTTGTCTGCATGTATTTCTCTGCACCAATTACATCAGTGACCAAAAGAGAGTGTTAGATACCCTGGGACTAGAATTATAGGTGGTTGTGAGCCTCCATGTGGGTGCTAGGACTTGAACTCTGGTCTTCTGGAAGAGAAGTCAGTGTTCTTAACTGCTGAGCCATCTCTCCAGCCTGTAGCTCTACTTGGATTTCTTTATCCATGCTATAGGCTTAAGTGAGATGATTTCCTTTTGTCCTATGTTTGCTCTTTAGCAGGTAGCACTCCAGTCCTAAAAAACTTATGCTTCCGATATTTTAATAAAATGTTGATTATTCCCAAATACTGATGTGGCCCATAGAGACCATGACCCATTAATTTCACAGACGATCAACCACCTTAGTCATCATAGAGTTCCTGTGGAATTTTGGAAACTGTGGGTCAAGGGATGTCTATAACTTGTCACGTGGATTTGGCTTCAGTTAAGACATAAATCAGGTGACAGCTGTACTCAAAATAAAATTACCCTTAATTTTGCCCGTCTTCACTTGTGAGACCATGGACATCATAGAGCATATTTTAATATTTGTTTCCCACAGAAGCTAAAGTGGAAGGTCTGAAGTGGTTTCCAGGGTGGTGGGCCACGTTATCAGAGCCACGGGCTTGAATTGAACCCGTCTCCAGGGAGGGGGGGGGAAATCTAGTTCCAAATATTCCTGTAACCTGTGTGCCGAGCAAGTGTTTATTATTAGAAATTGAATCCCTAGCGGGTTTTCCTTCGGATAACTGGTGAGCTTGAGAGCAAATACAATACCAAGAGAGCAAGCACGAAATAATTATTCACTGGAGCCTGCTGGGCAGAAAGTTCAGGGCAGTCAGCTTCCATGGCGCCTTTGTGGAGGGAGGAACCATGCTGGAGAAAGGCTCTGTGGAAGGCTGCATGTAGCCTTTCCATATGCACCTTGCTTAGGGGTAGAGGCAAGGCCACAGAGACCTCTCCCTTGGTACAGGACTGGGTCCTTCTAGCAGGGGCACTTTACCACCCATGCTGGGTATCTCCACTTTTCAAAACCTGTTTGTCTGTCTTTTAATCCTATGGGGAAGCTTTACCTGTCCTGAGATTCTCTTTTTCCAGCCCCAGCCACAGAGGCCAGAGGAACTGTGATCTCCGACAGGGCAGTTAGAGGATTCCGTCAGGACCCTCTCTTCCTTCTTCTGTTGAATAGTAAACACACTTAAAGATGACAACGTGCTTGAGTTCACTGCATTTGACGAGTGGAGGAGTTCTGGTCCAGATAATAGCGGAGGTTTTTTTTTTTTCCTCTTCCTTTCTTTTGTGTAGAGGTCAAGAACACAGTAATTCTGTAATCCAGGCCAAAATAAACTATACGATCTACTACTGATTTCCTTTCAAGTTCCCCCTTTTGCTAGGACTGACTTCCTTTTATTTTACTCCAACACGCATCAATCCCAACTATAGAAGTTTCTTTCCTTTCTCCCTTGCTTCTGACTTCAAACATTTTTTTTTAACATAGGAAACAAGTGACTTAAAAAAAAAAGCTACTTAAAAAAATATAAAGGCTATCATGACATTGGGACTATATTTTGGCAGCCTGTAGCCAAAGGTCCACTTCCGACCAGGCAGAGCTGAACGGTTGGAGCTGAAATGTCTACGTGACCACTGGGGCTGCCTTGAGCCAAACCACATGCTTATCTGATTCCTTCTGGGGATGAGGTGGTAGACACTGACCATGGCCCTTTAATAAGTAACCGCTCCATCTGCCAGAGCTCAGTAGTCCCCGAAGGATGCTGCCTCTTTCCCCAGGCTTCCATGATGAGAGCTGGGTATTGACCGATTGCCCGGAGATCAGAATTTGACTATGGTGGGAGCCAGTATTTTTAGCTTGAGTTGACATTCTGCTCTCTGCAGCAGCAGTTACTGTCATTGCCTCCACTGGCTCTAGGGGAAAAGCGGGGCCATGCCACCAACCCCCAAGACAGCAGAAGGCAGGGTGCGGTTAAGGAAGCCTACTAATAGCTTGGAGGCTTTCTGCAAACCCTTCCCCCCATTCCATCTCCCCACCCACTTCTGAAGCTTCATGCCTGAGATATTGGAACACAAAGTGTGGGGAGGTCAGTCACTGGGCAGGGAGAATGCACTATCCTTGGCGGGGAGCAGAGGATACAACAGGCATCTTGCATCCCTGCAGCTCCATGAGCTGCTGGTCCTGTCTTCCTTTGGATAAACAACTCTTTTGTTCTTTCTCCTCCAGATTCTTCTCTGTACTGTTATATAAACGATAGCCTAGACATAGGTTCAGATGTTGAATCATGCCCAGGAGCCTCTAAAGGAGCTGGGAGGAAGGTCATCAGGCATCCTAGCAGCAGGGACCCCTCTGAGTGCCGGTCCTTGTCTGAAAATGGGGATAACTTCCTGAAGTTGTTGGGACTGATACTGAGAATGTGCAAACGTGCCAGATAAAATCTGATGGGTTAGAAAACTGGATATTCTCCGTACCATCTTCAGAAAGTCATTAGGAACATCAGTCTCTTTGAGTCTTACAATATCCCTATTAAACAAGACTAAGATGAATTTTCTCATTTGACAGGTATGAAATCTAAGGTACAGAGTATTGAATGGCAGTCTCCTCAGATTTTCCCACAGACTCAAAACATAATCCCATCCATTCCTGAGGGCCTTCATACAGGAAGATTGTAAAGGGAAAATATCTTTTTAAAATTAGTAGTATTATTTAAGATTTTTATTCTGACTATTATTGTGGGAGTGTGATGATTATGTAAATAACAGTGAACTAGCCTCAGATGCCAAATGCTTCCAAAGGAGCAGAACATACCAGGTGCTACTCCTAAGTACCACTGTCAGCTAGAAACGTAGTAGGGGTCACGGGGGTATTTGAAATACGCTAGGAACCATGTGAAAATAAGAAAAAAAGAAGCTACTGAAAACGTTGTACTTGACCCAGTAGAGCCCAAACTTTACCTCAGTGAAGCTCTATTTCTGGTGTTTAAGAATCACACATGGCTAGTGGTTGTCATATTGGACAATGCAGTACAGTTTTGTTTTTTTTTTTAAATTAAATATCCCATAGGAAGACACACATGTATGTCCTATATCTGAGAAAAATCTTTTTGGGGCCCAAAAAATGAATTTAAAAATATTTGTCTTTGAGATCCTTTTGTACCGAGGCAATCAGAAATCAATAGGACAGTGCAATAAGTCTTTGAAAAATCTCTAAATATAAATTTAGAAATCTGGGATTCATTCATTCATCCTTGTGCATCAACTTTTTCATTCACCTTATTTTCCGTCTTTCTTGAAAATTACAATAGTCAGGCATCATGGCGCACGCCTTTAATCCCATCACTTGGGAGACAGAGGCAGGTGGATGTCTGTGAGTTCAAGGCCAGCCTGGTTTACAAAGTGAGTTCCAGGACAACAGGACTGTAACATAGAAAAACCTTGTCTCAAAAAAACCATAATAATAATGTTAATAATAATAATAAATGATACTATCTCGAGTCTTCCATAAGAATCAAGTCATTCCAGAAAGACCCCACATCCCAATGGGGCCGGGGAAAGTTGTCAACTGAAGCTGAGTGATTTTAGTTGGCGAGCAATTTTTTAAAAATCAGTGACAAAAATATAGAGCTACCTGGGGAATACAATGCCCCTTGGCTGAGATTAATGGCAAGATTAATAAATGGATTGCTTGATGAAAAGGCACAGGAGAACAAAAACCAGCGGAGAAATTGTGGAGGAGGCCACTTATTAATGAACTGTCAGCCCAAAGAAAGTTCAAGAAACTCTGCTGCGGTAAATGCAGCAGGCTGGCACTTCTAATAAAAGTTGGGGTCTTTCAGGAATTAATTACATCAGCCTTACAGAAGGAATTCGTGGAATTGCGAAAGGCAATGGCACAGACCAGCACGGGCTGCCGCTGCAAACGAGGAAGCTCCAGAAGAAACTAATCTTTTCTTTCCTTCCCATTGATATGTAGGATACTGTGGTAGCATAATAGCCAGTCAGCCGCAGGGATGAGTGATGGGGTCCAGATATACACTGACTAATGAAGATACACATACTTGGAGTTTGAAGTCACTGTACTTTTCATATGCAAAACTCTCCTCCTGGAAGCCGGTTTCCTCCTGGGCCAGGGTACTGGCCTCAAGGAGTTCCGCATAACTTGCGCAGAGATTATGGGACAGTCAGATGGATGCTGCTGTTGTTTATGGAGCAAGGTTTAGAGCGGGGGACAACAGGATCCGGTGACTCAGAGCGCTGTGATTTCTGTCACCCCTCCACAAGTTCTCAGTTCTGTTGGCCCAGCAAGCCCTTTCTGAATTAAAAACTCTGCCTCTGTCCGATGAAGCAATAGAAAGGAATGTTGGGACAAGACAGGAGATTGTTCGGGATTTGTGATCTGGTATCATGCGTTAAGGACTGAATACTTATCTCTGTTCATTCTGCAGTGAAGGTAGGGTGAAAATTTTCTTCTGTAATACGTTTAGACTGAAGGTTTCCAGGCAAACCATTAATCTCTTGAACCTCGGATTTCATAGTTAACCCTTTTGGTTCTGCCCCGAATGTCTTCCTGATAGGGCTCGGTCATCGGAGATTCCATTGATTTATGTGTTAGTGATGAGACACACAACGGACAGAGAACAGCTCTTGGTTGGTTTACCTGGAGGTCTGTTTTCCCCTTTGAGGTCTTAATGTAAATCACAGGCTGTTAAACATTTTTTTTTTCTTAAAGCTTCACTTGACTTTCACTAGGATTATAAAATACAAGCAGAATAATTCTTTAGCCCTGTGCTGAGATTATTGTCCTGTTTCTTTGGCTTGTCACACCCTTGGGTATTAGCCCATCCATCACCCATCACCCTGCCCTTTCGGACCCTCATAATCCACATGATACTTATCCTTTTGATTAAACAAACGTAATGGCCTTTTCACGAATAATTAATCCGCTGTCACTTTGCTCTTAGCTTCAGACTTTTAACTTTAATGTTGAGCTATCCAGGCTGTGTTACCTTCCAAAGCCTTACTCCCTCTAGCCGCTTCCCCTCCAAGGTTTAATACAGCTTGAGGAACTGAAGTTCACTATGCTAAGGTTTTTTCCTATAAACTACTGACTTACTCTCATTCTCTCTCTCTCTCTCTGTTTCTGTCTCTCTCTGTTTCTCTCTGTCTCTCTCTCTCTCTCTGTGTAAGTGCAGAAATCAGTGAACTGAAATGAAACCATTTTAGACCCACAAGTCATCGTTTTAGAAAACGTAGAGGCTTGAGCCGTGAAGTGAGAACTCCACTGTGTTTAGAGAAACACCTCTGCCCTGTGCATATGGCCATGGTTCTAACTATGGATCTTTTCCACAGTGACAATTTATACCAAATGACCTCCCAGCTTGAATGCATGACCTGGAATCAGATGAACCTGGGAGCCACCTTGAAGGGGTAAGGAATTTATCGCTGTTTAAATCATTTTTAGGGTATTATAGCTAATAAAGGGAGCAGAGACCTGGGCCTAGAAAAGCTGGTGTAGCTCACAGTAGCACTCAGAGGCTTTCCTCCCTCCCCCAGTTGGAGGGGTGTGTTTAACATTCTATTTTCAAAAGTGGAAGTGGGATGTTTTGGTCTGGAGCAAGGGAACAAGGAATATTGGGAACCCTTAGTGTGTCCTTTCTTTGTTGAATGTTTTAGAATTCTTCAAAGACTTGTGTCCATGAAACTTCTTTGAGTGTTTATGTTTTGCTGGCGCTATTACTGAAGCTCAACCACTGTGTTATCTTATCGAGAAGGGCTTTGCATGTACAAAGTCTCCGAACTGTACTGGCGTGGTGTTGATTTGAACAATTGGAAGTTAGATGTGTCCACTCCCGGTTGCACTGACAGGTTTTGCTCACGCAAGCTGGACGAGCACTGTAGGGGGAGTGTTGCAGCCAGGCACGCATAGCACTTCTCTGCACCTAACACGGAAGCAAGCAAGGCAGGTGGGGCTGGTTTTCAACAGTCACAGAGCTCATGTGTGGTTTCAGACAAGTGAGATGTACCCGAGACGTCAGGTGCCCTCCTAGCTCACTGCACCTTGGCTTCCTAACAGGATTCTGGACTCTAGGCACTGTCACCTGAGTTACAGATGAATTAATAAACCCCAGTGAGTCAAATCACTTCCCAAGACCCCATCCAGTTAGCGAGAGAAGTTAGATTTCATGCCTAGGTCCGATTCCAAAGCTCAGGCTCTGTCTAGCCTTTCTGGGGCGCCTTTGATCCCACTAGTGGTACTGGGAGCATACTGCAGCACTCTTGGCCAGACCGTTAGCTTCAAAGTTTCTTGTTGGATTCTGGGAGCCAGGGGCTTGCCAGAACCACGCGTCCTCCATTCCCCACCCCTACCTCTTCTTCTCTTCTAGAATGGCTGCTGGGAGCTCCAGCTCAGTGAAATGGACAGAAGGGCAGAGCAAGTGAGTGGACAATGGCTTTGTTGACTGACATCGCGGGCAATGCAGGAGCTAGGCCTAACATGGGGGAGCCAGGGTAGCAGTTGGGAATAGCGACGATCTGTCCCCGCATCAGCCCTCTCCTGGTTTATTGTAGACTTATCACAGACTGTGTGGCATCGGTGATATTTTTCTCATCGACATCCGTGCAAGACAATGAAAAACTCCGTGCAGCAGGGACCCTGCTCACTTCCTTGTTTCGCAGAGCACTCTATTTGTGGCATCAAATGTGTCATTGTACGCTGGTCAGGTCTTTCTCCCAGCCTTAGTTTATTTAATCTTGCTTTTCTCCATAACTTTACGTTTTTCCTGGGAGAACTGACTCTACCCTGAGTCTACGGGCAGGTTTTGCAGAGACATTCGCTCCCACTCATTCTGTTCTTAAACTTCTCAATCCCAGCCCTATAGCCCACAATCTGGGACATTTCCGGGACTATTTCTTTTGATTTTGTTTTCTCTGCTTAAACAGCAGGATCCACCTGTGTTTCCTTTCTTCCTATCTTGGTTCTGTCTTTATTGAATCTCCGCCAGCAATCAGAGGAGTCACTTTTTTTGTCTTCTGAGGCCTCTCCCTGTCCTTCAGTTTTTCTGCTATTTTATCCAACTTTCTACTTCTTCTCTGTGGATCTGAAAAAAGCAAAACAAAAGCCTCTATACCTTTGAGACATTTCTCTCTCCGTTAACTTCTTTTCTTGGATTCCATCCTTCACCATTCAGAATTTAGCAATTCTTGCCCGATGAAATGCCAGAGTGTGATTGTAAAGTAAGCAGTAAGTTTTAATTGTGAAATATTCTTGCCAGGCAGAAGTGGCACATAGCCTTTAATCCCAGCACTCAGGAGGTAGAGGCAGGCGAATCCGTGAGTTCGAGGCCAGCCTGGGATACAAAGTAAGTTTCATGACAGACAGGTCTATGTAAGGAGGTTCTGTCTCACTCCCATCCTACATATTCTATTTGTATTTTGTTTGATGGGTGTTTTGCCTGCATGTCTACGCACGACATGCTTGCAGTGCCCACACTGGCCAGAAGAGGGCATTAGATCTCTTGCAACTGGTGTTAGAAACGGTTGTGAGCTGCCACATGGATGGTGGAAATTAACCTGTGCCCTCCGGAAGGAGGGCAAGCAGTGCTCTTAACTGCTGAGCCAACTTTGCAGCTCCTTTTTGCCCATTTTTTAAATTCCCCCATGTCCCTCATGTGCCGCTTTCTGTCATTCTCCGCATTATTGCCTTGTGATAGGTTCTCTTCCCTGACGGGGAAAGTTCGCCCTGTTTTGATCAGGCCAGCAGCCCAGCAAGCTCTCAGAACCTGCCTGTCTCTAGCTCCCAATCCTGGGTTTATAGGCACATGCTGACATGCCTGGGTTTTTGTGTTGAGAGCTCGGTCTTCATGCTTGCAGAGACCTGCTGTGTCATCTCCTGAGGCAAGAAATGCATTTTTAAAGTGGGTTCCTAGGACAAGACATTTCTGGGGAGTCCTTTCTGAGCATAAGTTCTCCATTTTGAAAACTTCTATTTCCAGCGTCTTGTTCTGTCTACTTTGTGTTTGTTTGAAGACCTTTTCTTTGTGTATCCTCCACTGCTGCTGACTTCCTAAGGCTGCTGACAAACCTCAGCTACCCTGCTGGCCTCTGTTTTGTCTCTTCCGAAGAAAATAGCCTGCAAAATGGAGAAACACATCAACCTTGACTGTGGTCCAAGTTATTAGAACAAGGAGGAAGTTACTCTCTGGGGAGTGGGTAGGGGGAATGGGAAATCCAACACAATAGAAACTCCAAAGGAGCGCTGAGCAGAATCAATGTCCCTTTGCTAGTCCAAGAAGTTCACGGACTGTTGGGAACACGCAGTGTTTGACCTGTGGATGCTGGAAAGGAAAAGCCCAGAAGACTCCCGAGCAGTGATGTATGGGGGAAACAAAGTTGTGTGTTTTGGTGGGGCCAAGGCTGTCAGAGCTGGAGAAAATCCCCATCAGACATGGCCTCATCCCTGAGAACCTCTGCCAAAAGAGATAGCGGAGGCTCTGGCTGGGAGCTCCAGCTAGCTCTGTGCTGCACCTTCACTCGGCGCCTGCGCGTGTAATACCTGTCCCGGAGATTTACTTCTTGGAAGCAGATAACCTGCTCTTAAGTAGCTCCTGGTGCTTCAGATGCCAAAGCAAAGGTGGGGAGCCGCGATTCCAGGAACATAAGCAGCTCTGTGAACAGAACGTTCTAGAGCTTGCTCTTCCACCCCTGCACCCAAGCTGTTTGCCCCCCACCCCCACTTACAAAGAGCCCTCTTTATGCTGCAGTAGCAGTACCCTCCCTCACGACGGCGTTTCTGGGATGGAACTCGGTTTTCATGCATGCTGAGAAAGTTCTCTGCCACTGAGTGGCAGCTCAAATTCCGATCTTTGTTTTTGCCTCACTTTGGACCTGGCTGAGGTCTGTTAGATCTACTCTTTGAGGAATGGGTTTCTGGAGTCCGAGACTGGAGACAGAGATTCAAAGTTTAGTGCGGTGTCCTTGTCCCTCTGGCTACAAGAGGATAGGAAGACTTGTTCTGCTTTCTTGTTCTTACCTCCCACCCCCTTTTCTCTTTGAGCATTTACCTGTTAGTGCATTTAATTTTAAAGTTCTTTAAGTAGTTGTGGAAACCAGAGCATTCAGGAAAAGGAGTAATATGGGATGGCAACTCCCCCAATCCAGTAACCCAGAGGTTATTAATATTGTGTTGAACATGCTATCCTTTCTCTGTTAAATATATTTACCCCTGTGCCATTATCCTTCTTAAAGAAATGGTTGATTCCCCCTATTGAGTCAAGTAAATGCATACTGACAAACCATCTCAAAACTGGAGTTTTAAACCTCATGGGGGTGTTGATTATTGGGAAACAGTCCCTTCAAATTATCTCTAATTTAAAAATATCTTTTGGCAAGCAGCCTACAGTGTTTCTAACTGTTCAGTTTTAAGGTGAGAATTTATGGTCATCTCGTAAACATGAGGGGGATATGGCAGGTTTGTTTAGATCAAGGTAAGCAAGGAAAGATGGGAAAGGGAGGTGGTACCTGGGGGCCAAGCTGGAAATGAGGATCATGGCGGTTTCCACACTCGAAGACGAAGTGAAGTTAATGAGAACTCCGATGGGTGGGGCGGGGAGAATGAACTATGTATTACAGGGAGAGCGGGTTCACCAGACGAGGGAAGGATATGTCATGACCCAAGGCATATTTCAGATCCAGTTCCTCCTGGCCTTTCTGAGACCCCCTACCCACCATTTATCCTTCTCACTGTCATCTGCCCAAGACAAGATAATAATCTCTAGCTAGGAAAATCAAATACTGATGTAGAGTGTGCTCTGTTAAAAAGCTGTCCAGAGGGTTCTCAGAAACGAGGGGCTACTGCATATTTTACAGTAGGTGTTTGTCTACGCAAAACAAACGTGTTTATTTGCCTTAGCTTTCTTCCCAACCCCTCCTTTTTGAAGAAAAGCCATGGGTGCAGTGCTCTGTGGTGAGATTTTGTTTGTGCTGTGACAAAGCTTGCCTGAGGATCAGAGTGTGGAGCTAGCCACACTAGCTAACCATAGAGGCCAGGCAGTGGTGGCACACACTTTTAATCCCAGCATTTGGGAGACAGAGGCAGATGGATCTCTGTGAGTTCAAGACTACTCTGGGCCACACACCATTGATCTAGTCTAAAAAAGAAACAGAGCCAAACAAGCTGTGGCGACTCACACTTGTAATCCCAGCACTTGGGAGTCACACACCTTTAATCCCAGTGCTAGGGAGGTGGAGACAGGAAGGGCTATGGCAGGGCAGAGAGAGGAATAAAAGGCAGGAGGAGATAGGAACTCAAGGCATTCAGTCTGAGCACTTGTAGAGACAGGATACCTTTTTGGTCTAAGGATTTCATAGAGGTAAGAACTTTAGTGGCTGGTTGCTTTACTTCTCTGATCTTTCAGCGTTCACCTCCTAAT